AATTGTGAGTATGTAACTGCAATTTATTCATTATTACAAAGAAAAACACAATCGACGTATGAGCAAATGTTCAGAATAATTTTGAACGAATGCAATAAACGTAAATATTACCCTGACCCAGTTAAAGTACATTTAGATTTCGAAATATCTGTTATTAATGCTCTTAAGAATATTATTGGTAGTCACTTAATAATAATGGGTTGTTTTTATTATTTATGCCAAAGTACTCATAGGCGTATACAAAAACTTGGTTTAGAGACAAAATATCGTACAGACAAGGATTTCAGCCATTTCTGTGCTATGTTAGATAGCTTAGCTTTTCTCCCACTAAGTCACGTTAAGGAAGGAATGGATTATATTAAAACTATTGTTCCTCCAGGCGTGGAGGACTTAGTAAGTTAGTTTGATTCAGTTTATCTAAGTGGTCCTTTGCGTCGAATAGGAACTGATAACGAGTATTCGGTTTCGGCGAATTCCTCCTCAATTTTTGGTAAGAGACAAATTTGCTTGTTTAGAACCAATGAGCCATGCAACAGCAAAAAATATTTTTGATGTTATTATTAAGTTTTTTAATACAAACGATATACCATATAAAGACAATCTAATCGGTTTTGCGTCAGATGGAGCTAATGCCATGTTCGGCTGTAGGCATTCTGTAAGAACACTGCTAGAAGAAGAAGTACCAGGAATATTTTTAATGAAATGTATATGCCATTCCATGGCATTATGTGCATCGTATGCTGCTGAAAAATTGCCTAATATCGTAGAAGATCTTATAAGAGATATATATGCATACATGAAGTTAAGTTTTAAGAGGCAGAGTGAATATAAAGAGTTTCAAGTTTTTGTTGATGCTAAGCCCCACAAACTTTTTCAACCTTCTCAAACTCGATAGCTTTCGTTACATTCTTGCGTTAAACGAATATTGGAACAATATAAAGCACTTAAGTTGTACTTTGATGGAGAGCATTTAATAGACAAAAAGGCTGGTAACATTCATTCAGTTTGATTAAATCCTTTTACCGAGCTATATTTAAGTTTTTTAGATTTTGCTTTGCCCATCTTAACTTATGTAAATCTGGCATTTCAGGCTGAAAGTCCTCAAATCCATTTAATTTATTCAAAAGTTGCTACAGCATATAAAACTATATTAGACTGTTACATAAAAAATGATTATTTAAATTCAACTCATTTATCCCAGGTGCAGTATAAAAATCCAAATCATTTTTTAAATACAGAAAATATATACTTAGGTGGCAAGTGTACAGCAGTGTTATCAAACAGTTCGTTTTCTAAAACAGATATTAATACTTTTGTGACTAACTGCCTTACTTTTTATATAGAATGTTGTCATCAACTTTACAAACGGTTTCCATTCAATTCTGAGCACATGAAATGTTTGGAGCTAATGACTTTTTTGGATCCCAAAAATGCAAAGAGCATTAGATCTATTTCTTCTATTGACTATCATTTTGAAAACAAATTAAAACTCGATTTAAATGATTTTGACATAGAATGGAGACAACTTTGTAATCATAATAAATTAAACTTTAAATTAGATACGTTAGAGTTTTGGAAGTACATTAACACACTAAAAAATGGCGACGGTAATGAAGTTTACCCTTTGATCAATAAATTAGTTGCATATTTATTTACACTACCACACTGCAGTGCATGTGTAGAAAGATTATTCAGTTCAATAAATTTGAATAAAACAAAAATATCCAACTTTCCACGAAAACACTAACCGGTATATTAAATTCAAAAAGCTGTTTAAATAATAATGAAAAATCATGTTATAACTTTGATGTCCCATATAAGATGATTTCTAAACATAACTCTGATATATATCAGACAAACGAATAAAAATTATTTATTATTTATTTATAGGAACTATAACTTTATAAATTGTCTTTAATTTTCCTATTATTCTGTTGTTTTATGATACTTAACGGTTCAACTATTTATGTGCTACTTATTTATAATTTGTTAAAGTTGTTTTTATTTAAAAAAATATGTTTATCTTCAGTATGGTTATGTTTTTGTTTTATTAGGAACTAAAACTTTATAAATTGTTTTTAATTTTCCTATTATTCTGTTGTTTTATGATACTTAACGGTTCAACTATTTATCTACTACTTATTTATAATTTGTTAAAGTTGTTTTTATTTAAAAAAAATATGTTTATCCTAAGTATTGTTAAGTTTTTGTTATATTATGATACTTAACGGTTCAATTATTTATCTATTTATCTAAAATATAATATATTTCCAAGTAGGTATGGATAAAGTAGGTGAGTATAAAAAGCTCAAAAAAAAATCTTTAATTTAATATAATAAAGTACAGAATCAACAATGATTCCAGATATAGTAGTTATAACTTTTGGTGTAGCGATAGCATAATTTTTGGTCAGCTATTTCATGTAAAATACTTTTAATGAATCAAGGAAAAACCAAGGCTTTTGACCTCAACAAAAAAGGATTTTTAAGGAAAAAAGAGGATTTTCTTTAAAGGTGGCAGGATTTTACATTTTTTCTGGCAACACTGATGGTTGGCAACCATTTACCATTATACGATTTCGTGTATTGCTTTTTGCTGACGAGTGACGACCAGCAAGATAGTATAATATAGATTATAGGTACTTTCTGTAATGTTAAATACTTAGTCAACATATTATGTTTAACTATTTGGCAGGACGCAGAAGTATACTTAAATAAATACAATTAAGTAATCACTACAGTATTTACAGTAATTAATAATGTATCAACAATATGTTGACTAAGTATTTAACATTACAATTGATCTTATTTTTCATCATAGGTATTTGTAATATTATAAAATATAAATTTACTTAATTTCCATATTATATTACGTCTTTTAAAGATCTAATCATGAGTAAATTTTTTTTTTTAACTCAGCTTTTTTTTTTACACTTAGTTATAACGAAGTGTTTTTGGTGTGATATTGTAGAAACAATAATTTTAAAGGAAAATAATAAGTTGGTAAAAAAAAAAAAAAGAAAATATATTTAATAATTCTGGGCTGCAATGCCGCCGCCAGGCGACTTTTTTAGTTTGTACATCCAAAACCAGGTGGCGCTGTTTTCAATATTCTAAACAAATACGGCAGATTCCTATCTATTAGTATTCTTGTCTATGCTCGTGACGCCGTAGTTCCATTAACTGCCGAGCGCTGCTAGTCAGACGTGTTAGATTTTTATTATTTCATATTATTATGTGTATAATTTATCACAGTTTGGGTACAATTTCACTTAAGTTACTTCCATTTTTTAATTGAAAGTTAAGTTAATTGACGTTTTGAAAACTATGGTGCCAAAAAAATATCTCCCTAGACCCTAATCATTAGTTTCGAAGTTAAAATCCCTTGAAGTTCGATATTTTCCGTATTTATGCACAACGCTCTTGCTTACCCCGTATTTTACGAATTTATATATATTTTTTTTTGTATCTTTTTTTACTTAAGAATTTTAATGAGTGTATGCTTATAGTATCTCAAGTATCTGTAACTATACCGTATTCATATATTGTAATATTTAGAATATTTATTTAATTTAGTTTTATTTAGCTTAAATTGCATACCTACCTACATCTGTCCATATTTTATATTTATAGTTGTCCTTTTAAAAAAATAGCTACAAACTAATATTGTCTTTTATCCATAGATATAGATAGCCTGCAATGGCTAGGAATGTCTTATTTTATTAATAAAAAAAAAAAAAAATGAGTGTATGCATAAATGTGGATAATCCAGAACTTTAAGTGACAACATCTTAGAAACAAAAAATGTTTTGTGACCATATTTTTTTGCAACCAAAATTTAAAAATGACAATTAGCTTAACTTTGAAAACAAAAAGTTGCAATACCATGATAATATAATATATTTTATCGCAGTGCAATTATACCATAGTTCGTATCAAGTATTCTTATTTAATTTTTATTTAAATAATATATTAGAAAAATAACAAATACCAATTAGGTACCTATTAGGTATACCTAAGTACATTGGTGGCAGGAACTATTTTTTCTATGAAGTCAACTACCTTAAATTAGTACCCACACACCAATTTTTCACATTTTACACATTTTAAACGCAGGTCATACATGACTATGTGAGTATAAATTATAAACTAGTATAGTCGTCTAGGTCTTGGAGACGGAAGTCATTGTCTCATTGGGAGACACACCTGGTATTAAAACAGACTAATAGGTATATTAAAATTGTTAAAAATGTTCTTGGTAATCTTACATTTGTGACAGTGATTGGTACCAGTGGTGGATCTAGGATTTTTTTAAGACGAGTGCTAAGGTAAGGTCTCATATTCTGTTTCTATATACTCCCATCTTAATGGCAAGAAGAAATGCGTTATAATGTCGCACAGTAATTGTAGGTAGGTATCTTTTAATAACAATAAACATAGTCGGAAAATACAAGATATGACATTTATCAGAACATTTTATCTGACCAATTGTATTTTATCTTTTAGAGGATGTACGTGTTTATAATGCAGTTTATCTATTTTTTTTTTCTACTACGATATGCGGTCTACATTTATGATGGTAGATAGACCACATGTATTTGTAGTCAGCATATGAGAGTAGCACCGACTTTTTTAGTAGGTATTCAAAATGAATGTGAGGAACAAACCGTTTGTTTACAAACGCAATTTACCAACCACCTGATGATTTTCAATTTTTCTTTTGTCAAACGGCTTGGTTTTGTATGCTTAAAATTATGGTGTGAATTTGTGTTGCCACCTGTTGAATCCTAAACTCATTCAGGCTTTTACCGGAAACTATTATTTTAGAAGTTATAAAGCTCAGTCAAACAGACCGCGGGCTGTGATGTCAAACAACGCTCGGGCAATCACGCTGTTAGTCGCGGACTACGTGTCTTATGTACCTAACGTACTACGTCTACCTACACTGTTTCTTTGTTTCTTTACACTTTAACTTAATTTAATTTAAATATACGAAAAAAAATGACATCTAGTAGTTCTGACGAAAAACTTCTTATTCTACTCGCATTGAAGAACAAAAAGAAAAGGAGAAAATGGGTGCACGAAATTAATGAAAAAAGAGAAGAATTTGGTGAGTTTCACCACCTCTGCAAAGAACTGTCAACTTACGAAGACCGTTTTGTAAATTATTTCCGTATGACTCTAGAAAAATTTGAGGAAATACACGAACTCGTATCACCGAGGATATTAAAACTTAAGACAAACTGGAGAAAACCTATTGGGACAAAAGAAAGGCTTGCAATTTGTTTGAGGTAAAAAAGTCTTTATAAATATACATGAACTAGGTATATGAACTATAAAAAAATTTGTATTTTAAATGATGAATGACATAAGAATATATTGTTTGTTTATAATTAAGTAAGTAATTAGTAATTAGTAATTAGTTTAGTATTTTTAAATATACATAAAAATTAATTTTAATTTTAATAATTTTTTAGTAGTTGTTTTTCGGCTGTGTAGCAATAAACTTTGATACGTTTTCATACAAATCTTTAGTCGACTGAGTACGAATCGGGTATGATCCTAGTACCAAAGAATTTGTTGATTTGGGGTGTGTATGTATGTTTGAATAGTTGAGTGATTGATTAGCATTACCAGTGTCATTTTCAGCTGCTTCGTTTGGGTTGACATCTGTGTATACGTTGGAATAGTTGAGTGCTTGAATAGCATTACCAGTGTCATTTTCAGCAAACTTGGTTTGAGTTGACATCTGACCAAGACGAAGTTGTGGAGTACATTGGAGAGGAGCGTGTTGAATTATGACTGTCAACCTCATTAAGTTCAGCTCGTCCATATAACTGTGACATTTTAAGGACAGCTTGCGTTCTTGACGAAAATGTCTTAAACGTACCAAGTACGACAAGAAGAGATTGTCAATGTGGTCGAGTTTTGTATGAGTTTTATTGCTAATTTTTGTTTTCCGCAGTACCGCAGCCACATCTTCTGTTAGTTCTTTCCGTTTGGTTGTTCTCTTAGGTGGTGAAATTTGCGTTGGGGAAGTTACATTTTCACTATCAGACTCACCCGGCTCATTATCTTCATCAGTGATCGATATTTCGTGGATCTGTGATACTGATACGTTTGAAGTCGTTGCTCGTGGTGCTACTGTATCTCTCAAAAATTCCAAATGCCAATTTTTGTATTTTTTGCCAGATCCGGTAGATCCTTTTAAATAATTTATATATTTTATATAAGAATCACGCAGGTTCTTCCATTTCTGTTTCACAATTTCAGCTGTCATACAGAGCAAAGTATATACAATAAATAGGTAGGTACATAAATACTAAAAGAAAAAAATTAAAGTATTTAAGGTAAATTGTATTATATTTAAAGAAAATTTATAGTATTTAAAGTATTTACGGTTATAAGTTTTTAGTTGAATTACAAAACCTTTTTATAGCTATATGGTGTTTATTGATATTTATTTATTACAGATATTTGGCAACAGGAGATTCACATCATACTATATGTTTTTCTTTCCTAGTCGGTCGTACTACTGTTTCTAGCATAGTGAAACAGTGTAGAGCTATTTAATGTTTTACAGCCTTTATATCTGGCTACACCTACAGAAGAAGTATGGAAAAATTCAGAAATTGGATTTATAGAGCTTTGGAATTTTCCCAACTGCATAGGAAGCATAGAGGGAAAACACGTGAGAATAAAATGTCTTCCTAAGACTGGGTCAAGTTTTTTTTGCTATAAAATTTTTTTTCAATAGTTCTTCTTGGCATAGTAGATCCTAACTACAAGTTTTTAATTGTTGATATTGGTAGTTATGGCCGTCATAGTGACAGTAGTATTTTTGAGAATTCATCTTTTTATCGCGAGTTCATACAAGGTAAAACTATTTTACCACCTCAACCTTTACCTGTAACAACCACCCCAGTCCCACATGTTTTCGTAGGTGACGAAGGTTTAAACTAGAAATTTTTTTAATGCGTCCCTTTCCGAGAGCTGTAGTTGCACAAAATGAAGCTAAAAAAGTATTCAATAAGCGACTAAGCAGAGCACGACGTGTTGTCGAAAATGCCTTTGGTATTTTGGCACAAAAGTGGCGAGTCTTTTTTAGACCTATTGAATTAGAAGTAGATACTGCAGAACATGTTGTCAAGGCAGTTTGTTGTTTACACAATTATCTCCGAAGTACCTCCACAATTGAAAACGAACCAGAAGAAGAAGACGATATTTCACCTAGGTACTAATGTGTTTTCTAATGCACAACGAATAAGAGAGAGAGATAAAGTATTGCAGCTACTTCTGTTAGAGAGAACTTCGTAAATTATTTCAATTATTTACGTAATGAAACTATCGATCAATAGTTATACTATGAAAAATAATAATAATACTATGAAAAAACTGCATAATAAAATTGTATCACTATATTATATAACTAATTATGTAACTAGGTAATATAACTATTTTAACTATAATTTATTCCTTAATAACTAATTATTGTTAGGTATGTAACACTATGTTTTTTCATTCAAAATCGTTTTTGTACAATACTAATTTATATTATTACTATTGATTTAATATAATATAAGTACTGATAAAAATGAAAAAATAAATAAACAAAATCTGTTTTTACATGTTTATTTCATTATATTATTTAAGTATCTATCATTTTATAAATTACACATATTATATTATATTATATTATTATATTACTATACTATGCTTACTTGGCTTATTGAGTATCCCGGCAATTTCATTCCATTTCTCTGTTTTTTTACAGTATTTATATACAAACCGTGACTAGTATCATATAAATATGGATAATTGTGCACCAAATCAATTAATTTTTCAGTCTCATCTGCCATAGTGATGGATAATGAGGAATGAATAATTAAAATAATTTGTGAGTGTAAAATATTACAACCAGACCGCAGACCGCGACGGTCGACATGATTCCGCCGCTGCAGCCCGCGCTATTTTTAACCACGATTATGCAATCATGATAATACAATGCTGGCAGCCCGCGTTCTGTTTGACTGGGCCTATAGCCTTCTAAAGTTAGCGATTTTACGTTTATGCGCCCGCGCGCAACGCTACTTGACTGCTATAACAATTTTTTTTTTCTGCGTTATTTAACAAAAGTCGATCTTGTTGAGATAGAGAATATTGAGGAGTTAGAAAGTGAAAATTAGTCACTCAGTGGACATGATGATTGTATGATATAAATTTGTATAAACTAGTATTAAATATATTTTACATTCAGGTATAACGTCTATATATACAAATATATATGATATATGATATAATTATATCAGGAACACACTACTAGGCAGACAATGTACTAGGTACTGTTCCGTAGCCAAAAATATTTCTAACATGACAAAAGATCTAGTGACACATCATAATCGCAGGAAAATTGACAGTTTTGAACATACACCTTCATATCTAGTCGTTCCAAAGGGGCGGTATAATTCGGTAGATCTGGAATGACAGTAACTGGGTATCAAAAGTTCTGTACCGCGACGGACTAGAACTGACGACCTGATCGGCAGTTTTGGAATGCCATTCTAAAACTGACGGGAAAACCTTTCGTGAATGGGCTGCTATTGGTATGTATACCAGGATATACCAGGATATGCCCTTCCTATGTCCCTCATAAACCTACAGAATTGCTGCTGTATACCACTTTCCCGGTTTAAAATATTAGCGTGGTACATCCATTCGCCAATGTAAGACGTTGACACTCTTGGGCAGTTACACCTAGTTAGCACTCGTTTTAGTTCACGCCACGAATGCTCGATGTGTTCATATGGTATCGAATTGGTTCCATGTTGGGCGGCAGTGCATCTTCTCACTGCTTGTCCAAGCACTCAGGGCTGAATCGACCGGCAGGTAACCAAATTGGTGGTAAATGTTTGGGTGGCTCGACAAAGTTAACCGTATGGTTAACAACACCATGTTCACTAAAGACACATAAAATATTTATATTTATTATAATCTCTTTAAATGACATTGTTTGCTTTAAAAAATGTATTAAACTCTAAATAGTATAATAATAAAATTAGTTTAATTCATAATTGTGGGTGCCGTATGAAATTCTTACGAGGAATTTTATTTTACATTTTTAATATTTAGCTATTTTATAAATTTTTAACTGTAAAATAATTTTCAATTTTCAATATGATTAATGTTGCCGAGATTTGAACTTTAAATGCTTTTAAAAAAATCTTGCTAATATATTTTTAATTTTTTAGATTCTGTGTGGAGCGATGAATGTAATGATTTTTCAATGATGTTTTTTTTTTTATTATTATTTTATATTTTTTTTTATGTCTGCATCACCTTTAAGTACAATGAAAATGCTTAGATATTAAAATGTATGTAAACAACTTGAAAGGAGTTGAAATATTTTGAGAAAATAAAAAATGATAGCTAAAATTAATTTCAAATATCTAGTATCTAAAGTTACTCGTTCTTACTAGTTCTGCTCATAATCTAAAATGTGTTGTGTTGCATTAATTTTATAATGCCTATTATTTACCTAAAGATTTGACCTCAAGTATTGTATGCCCTCCACATGTCGCTACAAATAAAACTTTCGTCATCGATGTATTGTTGAGCGATAGGTATTAACGTATCTGCTGATCTATCTGGAACAATTGTACCGAATACCTTCTTCGTAGTACGACTTATTCCTCCTAAAATATTAGATAAAGTTATTTATATATATAAATTACTGTAATAAATTATATTTTAGTAAAACAATAAAATTAATACCAAACAATCAAACGGCACTCCACGCCATTTGCCGGCCTACATTGTATTTTACCCGAAATAAATGCGTTTCGTCGATTTCAAAGATATCGTTACTACCACCGATTTGCTCAAAACCGTGGTATGCTATTTTTAGAGCAACATCTCTGAAGTATTCAGTGTAGGCTACCGCCGTTTCTGTAGACACTTTAACCTAATATTGACATTTTAGATGTATTTTATGTGAAATTAGCTATTAAGATTATAAAGATTGATTATTTAAAATACCTGTTGTCACCTTAGTGTGATCAAATTAAACTATGCATATTTTATTGTATGATTATAATAAGTATATACTTACTTCTTGTTGGATTGTGCTTGTATTGGCTTTAGCCACCCAAAAATAAATCATTTGGATGATTTTATGACAACCTAACTCTCCAGCTGTATGGACATTTTCTAAAAATGTATTTTTAGTTGGGTTTAATCTGTGACCGTTTGAACACTTAAAACGGTAACCAAGTTTCCTGGTTGCATCCTCGACACGATACAATGGTTCTCCACAATGATATCCGGGAACATCAAAATCGGCAGGAATCACACCAAAATGTTTAAAAATCATCTCACCCTGCTTCCCAGCCAATCTGCGTTCCTCATCAGAAAAATCAGGACCCAAAAAGTATCCTAATGAAAAAAGTGATAGGCGATTTGACTGAGCAATGTATTTAAATCCATGTGAAAACTAACGGAAACACAGTTCACATACGATCGTCGTTCACACTATACAATCGAGTGAATGAGAAAAGCAGGAATATCAAAAAAATGGTAATTTATCTAGGATAGTATAATTCTTTAATTTTTTTATATCTGAACATTCTGTGTAAAATATTTGTTTTCATCCAGATAACTTTGATAAAACTATGGGCATCCGTGGCGGTCTGTATTGCATTGATTCAATAGTATGTTGTTTTTCTATTAATTATAAAATTTCATCTGTTGTGTATGATGAATCATTTTTTTTTTTTGGCAAAACTTGCAGCAGATTATTTAAATTTCTTTTATAATTTTTGATTTCAATGAAGTAATTTTTTTCTATATTATTGTATGTAATGTTGTAAAATGTTTTTCTAGAAGGCTATTGATAAATTTTTTTATAAATATGAATTTTCATTGGTATCTGTTGAATAAATTTATTTTATTGATATTGGTTTGATTGTTTTTATTTTTTTTTTGATTTATAGTAGTTTGCAGATGAAACAAATACACAATGAAGAAGATAATTTGAAGTTGTGAATTATTGCCGGTATAAGAATAAAAGAAATAAAGTTACATTGTAAAATGCGGCCGTTATAAAATATGTATCGCGGCTGATTGTAATAATTTTATCGATATATAAATTTGAATTCCTCTTTGTATTAAGTTGATTTATAATATTTTCCATAATAAGATTAAACAATATGGTGTATTTATGATAAACTTCAATCATTAAATATTTATTGATTACCAATTCATGTAGTTCTTTTTTTAATGATTTTTTATCAATAAAATTATATTTGAGTACACACATTATAATCTTAATGTGAATGTGTTAATCTTAATGTGTCAAAAATATTTGATAACTGTAAAAAAAAATTAAATGCCATTAATAAATTTTAAATAATTATATGTAATGAATTTTAAATATTTTTTTAAGGGCATACTGTGCGTTTTTTTTCCATTGTTAATAGGCAGGACAAAATCAACACATCATTGCAGCTGTTGGCCAGGATGGATATTTCAACTACCGATTCATCATCAATTAAAATATTATGGGTATTTGTGGATGAATGGATTCTATTTATTTTTGAATTCATATTTTACATTATTTATTTTAATTATGTAGGTGATGTTGAAATAGTCAATGAATATTTACCCTGTAGGTTGATATGACATATCAATCACATTTTTCAGCCACCAGGAATCCAAATCATCCACAAATTGAACAAAATATTTGTCCAATGACAATATATTATTTATATACAAATAAATGGTAAAAAATTAATTATTTTTTTTATTATTATTGTCGATAATGCCATATGTTAGATTTTTAAGTGTATATTTTTAAGTTGTATATTTGAGTACCATGTATAATTGAATTAAATATTTTTTTGTTTGTATAAAGTTGTAATTAAATGTTTTTCACATATTTGGACACTGTAAATTGAAATATTAAGATTAGTTATTAGTTATTATAAGTTATGTTCACTATTTTACTTACTCATCAACAATTTTCTGTATGTTATTATATATCATTGTGTTGGAAATTAAATTATCTATAGATTGAATATCAGTGATAAATAAATAGATGTTGTTCATATTGAATTCTGAAGGGGACGGGATCTTTGGAATTTTGTTGTTGAAATATTTTTGAGGCATTCTATATATTTTATAATTACCATGTATTTGTATATCATTTATTTGTTTTGTTATTATTAAGAATTCGCCATAATGTTTAACAGATTCGCTTCTCAGTATTTCTAATGTTTTTTTTTTTATGGCTCCTAATTTTTTATCCCTAACTTTTTGCTGAAATTTTGAGATATAATATTTGTGGCTATTTCATTTATATTTGCCTCACTAGCAATACTAGTTTTGCACATTTCCACCGGGATGGGAAGGACCTATTGAAAACATGGTCGTGTTCTGAAACGTGACCGGGTGCTTGCAGGCTTTCCTGTGCCGTCTGCCCCGACATGAGTATCTCCATTAGGCCGCGGTGGTTTTGCAGCCTTTGCCTTCTTCTTGACGACTTCTGTCCATGGGGGGGGGGGCTGCGCCATCACCCTCTGCCTCTGTGGTGTGCTGTGTACTGGTTGGGGGTTCAATGTCCCACCAGCACGGGGATTGTGTCTCAGAGTCCTTGAGTTTTGGAGGCTTAGCCGCGACTATAGTAGTCTTGATGTCAGAACGGACATGCGCCACGACTTGGTTGAAGGCCATGGTGACCCCCTCACGGCTACTTTTCATGCCTTCAATAATTTCCAGCAGTTCTTTGATTGCCTTCTTGGCTGATTCGCTTCTTAGTTTCTCGGTCAGTAGTTCAACGTGGGATGCTTTGGAAAGCAGTAGCTTAAAGCGACTTTCTTGAGACTGGAGCGTTTTGCCCAGTGCCCTTATTGCCGTGTGGGTGGTCTCGGTGCTGGTATTTGGCTGAGCTACGGGAGCTTGGCTAGCCTCCTGCTGAGCGCTGCTCCCGTGTCCCACCGCAATGCTGTGGCTAGTGCTGTGGTCCATGGCAAGGGGGAGGTCCTGTGATCCTTGCCCCCTTTGCTGCTACCACTTCTCCACTCAGCAGTGAACAGTGAAGCAGTGCAGGGACCAAATCCGGGGGGTATCTGTGCCCTGCACTAGCTTCGGGGGTGACTGGCTGGTCACTCGCCTCACTGTCCCTATCCCAACTCAGCCCCTAGGGGGGTAGGGAGTATAACCTATGGGATCTTGTCGGGGATCGTTCAAGCAGGGCAGGGCAAAATTTTTCTCCCGAAGCTCTAAAATGAAACCCCGCCGAGTTATCCGAGAAAAACTGATTTGGGGTGGTGTGGGGGCTTATGTTCCTGATAGGTGGAATATATGCGGTTCCCCTAGGCAATGTCTTTGCCGTTTACCCCGACTCTCTCCGACACGTGCTTAATGACTTAAGTCAAATTAAGTTGACGCCGTCATTTGTACGTCGACACTTGTTCACACGCCACAAATTGATCCCCGTCGCCAAGTCACGTGACCGCACTGCTTCCCCGACGCGGAAACAGCTGTTTAGCTGGAAATTCCGTTTTCCTTTGGGCGCCGTGTATTTAGATAGGGGAAAGGTTGAAATTTAAGTTACTCACCCGCTGATTGTCGGACCAGATGGGGTGTCCCCGAATTCGTCTTCACCAGACGCGTCTTTTAAGCCACCGCGCGCGAACTTACCGAGAGTATTTCGGCCTCAAACTTCACGGCGGCGCAGGGACTTAACCTGCAGGTTTTCTCGGCACCTGGGGGTCCGAGGTGGACGCGCGATGCACCGAACCCTTCTGGAGGGTGCGGTGGGTCTTAATCAGGCCGACTCTAAACCGACACTGGCCAGAACGCGCACTTTTTACCGTAAATCACGATCTGCGTAACGCGGTAGCGAAAACACGTGTATAACACTATAGTTGAGTTTTCTCGGCGACTAGTGGACCGATAATCACGCTGTTTGTACCGATCGCTTAAGAATTAAATTCCGCGTCGATCTGTCCTTGGTGCGCAAAAAACGGTGACCGGAGAAAAATCGAAAACACTCGGGAGCGACGCACGGACACGTCTGTACACCACGACAGCCACAAAGTATAATGCCAGCCATAATGTATTGGCGGAAATAGAGACGTCCACGCCAAAGAAGCATTGATTCATCTAGACTCAACTCTTTAGTAGGATAGTATACTTCTTTCATTCTATTATGAAATAGGTCGAACAATGGTGTAATTTTATATAGGGGGTCGTCAGGTTTCGGGCCTCCAGTAGGCGGGTTTTCGGCGAAGTGTAAACATCGCAATATTAATAAAAATCTATCTCTACTCATAGCATTTCTAAAAACATTAAAATTGTACAAATCATTTGTTTTCTAATAATGGGAGGTGGTCGGAGCAGGTATATGTCCGGTTAGAAATATCAAGCCCAAAAAAACTTCCATGTCGTCTCTCGTTATATTTTTCCAGTTTTTTATACGTGATTTTGATTTTGTACTTTGACTGCATAAAATTTTACCTTGCCGATTTGTTTCCGTAACTATCATATTAAAAATATCGTCCATAAATAAGTGAAAAAAATAATCTATAGGTTCATCTGAGGTTGGAACCTGAAGCATACCCGTAGAGTCAACAAAAGGAATTAATGGAGCTTGTTTAGGAGTCGGAGTCCATACTTGCTGATTTTGGGACTGAATTACTCTGGATGGTGACCCTGTAGGTAGGTCATGTGACGAGGAAGAAGTAGAAATATTTTGTGTAGATTGGTTTGGGGATTGAAGAGGTACTTCGGTGTCTTCTTCAACGATATATTCGTCGACATCATCTTCACTGTCGAAACCAAAATTTTCATTTTCAAAGTCTGAATCCTACAGAAGCGCCAACAGTTCTTCGTCATTCAAAGCATAACGTGATGTGGTAGGTTTTGATGGACCTGGTGTAATGTCATCAATTTTTGACGATTCACTATCGTCATATGACAAACGTCTTTTTGCTGATTTTTTACTCATTCTAGGGAAAATAAAATTACAAAATCATCGTTTCTAAAGAAAAAAAAATATATATATAATTTAGGTATTATAAATAAAATACTTTTATATTTTATAAAATTACTAAGCACACTCTGTATAATGTCGAGTACTTATACGAAATAAAATAAAAAAACAACAAATATACCGGAGGTATAATACGTCTTGTGCAGAGAAAAAAAAGTCAGTAAAAAATAAAAATATATTTTCTTACATTTGATAAAATTACTATGCACACTGTGTATAATGTCCAGTAATTATATGAAATACAAAAAATAATAACAAATATACAGCAGGCTGAATCTACAACATTTGTATCACGTTGGCTGCCACATGGACGCCGGCAACCTAAATGATTTTATTTATTGTGAAGCCAATTGGGTATCTGGCGACCCAAACCGAATTATTTTTCAGGGGCCACTTGGGTTACCAAATTCCATATTATCTTAAATGGACTTTATTTTAATACGGTCTGGAGATAGAAAAATATAGATTTTACCGTGGCGTAGACAACAAAAAGTAGATGATTTTGAAAAAAAAAACTATTAAAATATTCAAACTTATAAAAGATTTTTTATTACTTAAAAATATGTGAAAAAAGTTACTTTTATATTAACATTTTACATTAAAAATTATTATTACTAAGTATTATATATGTGATTTATCATTGTTGATGATGTTGGAAACATTGGAGGCACACAAATGGTTTTGAGGGACAAATACTACAAAATATGTTGTCTCTTTTTTTGCCTTGTTTACAGGGACTGAATGGTCCTCCTCGTCCTCGTCTTCAGTAGAATCTTCAAACTCACTATTATTTTCATTTTCAATTTGAATTAACGGATCAGTATCACTATAGTCAATAATTTCACTAAAAGAGTCGTATGATTCATTCAATGAATCAATTATGTCATCCATTTTGTAAAAAGTTTAATTTTATTTGAAAAATAAAACACAAAAGGAATGGAACACTATCAACAACGGTCACAACGAAAACGAAAACTAAAGACGACTGACATTGAATAAACGATTTATCGGCCCAGAAACAATAATAGTGTAAATTATGATGAGCAAAAAAAAAAATATCAGCTAAACATATTTTGAACAAGACCGCCGGCGACCAACAGTGGCCCATTATATAAAGTCATATCATTTGTTGGCCACTTGCTAGCCGGCGACCCAAGACATTTCTTCTTTTTATATTATTATACAAGGTTTACTGATTAAAACTGTATACATTTTATCAAAATCGGAAAATTAAAGCTATTTTTATAAACGTAAACATTTACGATAAATTATGTGAAAATAGTATGGCCCACCATGCTCAGAAATTACTTGGGGCGCCGGCGGCCATGTGGCAGCCAACGTGGTATAGAATTCAAAGAAATAATAATAAATAGTAACGATTAGAGTTCGACACTGCTTATGAAAAACGACATACAATTATAAACATAATATTATGTGAAGAAAATTATCAGTGTGGCTCCACGTGGAGCTGATTTTAAGTAATTTATAATAATGTAATAATAATGTACGTAAAAATAATAATAGTTTAATAATATAATAGTAAGTATAATAATATTTATTACAAGAAATATGGTTATCTTACCTTTATTACGAAAAACGACCATCAATAATATAAAAATAGCTGGAATTTCAAACCACCGAGAATTAAACAATTTCAACCTCTTATCTGTGCGGTACGGAAGCGTTGAAGGGCCAACCATATGTTTTTTTTATCTCATTATTATGGATTATCACAAGTCATTATTATAGATTATAACTCGTAATAACGGATTCGACAACTCGTAATAACGGATTGAGAACTCGTAATAACGAATTGTACAACTCGTAATAACGGATTGGATAACTCGTAATAACGGATTGGACAACTGGTAATAACGGATTGGATAACTCGTAATAACGGATTGGACAACTGGTAATAACGGATTGGATAACTCGTAATAACGGATTGGACAACTGGTAATAATGGATTGGATAACTCGTAATAACGGATTGGACAATGGTACGATAGTTATCGTACGCATACAATGATTTAAGCCATTTGTATTTTGTACGAATATTGTAGGTACGATCAGTGTCGCAAGAATTGGGGAAAAAAAATCCCCGTTAGCATTATACCGGGGATTGACTATGTACAAATAATTTAAAAGAATTATTATATTTTTTTATAAATTATATATATAATATTATATTAAAAATAAAATAAATATTGTATATTATTATGTTAAAAATGTCTTATACCCTAAAATTACAATATATATGTTTATATATATATATATTACCTAGATGGTTAAGTACAGTGTCGGCCTGGGACACCAAAGGCCCATACGATCAGTTTTTTAAGGGGCCCCATAATGGAATACAAAATTTACTTGACATTTTGGTGAAAAAATGCTCACCAAATGTTTTCCTTTAAAAATACATTTATTCAAATTCTGATTTTTAGAATTATTGTGTATACCTAAAGACCATATATATTCAAATTCCTGATATTTTTTGTACTACTATTAAAGAGTGTCTTGTGGCTATACAAACTTAAATTTTTCAAATGAGAATTTAATTTTACAAATTATTTATCTTGATAGCATAGCCGTGCGCAGGAGGGATGCCGGATATGCCATGGCATCCCCTGTAGAGTTAGCACAACCTATATAGTTTTTAGTTGTAAATGTTTTGATTATAAATTAGAATCATGAACTAATTGATAGTTTATAGACTATAGTATCTCAGTTCAAGAATTTAAATATTTTGATTATTTTTTTTATCCTATTTTCTTAATAATAAAATATTCGGAGTTCAGACAAAATAAAATATTAATTAGATTTCATAATTATATTTTCATAATTACTACAGGTACCTAAAAATAATAAAATATATTGCTAACTCATAACAATATAGTTGAAATCAAAATCAACCGTGAAAATTGCTGGTTTTGTCACCAGAAAATTCAGGCCCTTGCAGTATTACTTATTTTCATACTACATTATACAATACTATCAAAAATAAAATTAATTCGATTAGTTAGATTATCATTTTTTGTCATTATTATAATTTGATCAAATGCCTGCAGGTTTTTATACTGTTACTTTATTGGAATTATGAAATCACAGTACAAGAATTTCAAATTAAATTATCTAAAACCAATAAATAAGCTAAATAAAATGCACGTTAATTTCTTTTCGCATTATATGGCAAGTTATTCGTACCTATTAAGAGTTTTTGGGGAGTTATTTTTTTATTGTTATAGACAGTGGCGTCTGCAGGGGGGGTTGCTAATGGGCTGAAGCCCCCCATTACCCTTATTATTATTACTTTAAAAAAAAGTATTTATCAAGTTTTTACTGTCAACTATAGTAGGTAAGCAAAACATAAATTTCATATATTATGTCTTACCAGAATGAATTCATTTTTGAAAAAACAATGTACCTATTTGCATACCAATATTCATAAATTATCTGTAATTTTTTGGTAAAAGTATGAATTAATTGTATTAAATTGTCTAGCCTTAGCTTGTTAGCTATAATACACATTTCATATTTTATAAGTTTTGAACTACCTACAAATTAACTGTAGTTTTGACGAAATTTGAACATAACCATGATGCCTATGTATTGTTAATATTTTTCTATAATAAAAACTTATGTATTACATTTTTAAGCTTTTTGACCGAATAAATCAATTTTTTATAGACATTTATAGAAAAAAAAATTTAGTTAATCAAATACAATCCAAGTGAGGACGGTATAACGAAGCTGGTTACCAAATAATTTTAATAAATTTTCATTTTTTTTTCGAATTATTTTAGAAAGCACTGAGCATTCAATTTTGACCCCCTAAAAGTACCAACTAGATCCAATTTGCTTCCAAAAACATACACTGTGCATCGAAACTTATGATCAGAGCATTTTTTCTACCAAAAAAGTTGAAAAGTTATAAACATTTTAAAATACCTCAAATAAACGTCTGAAATTATAAGACTGGACAAAATAAAAATAAAATTGTAACTAATTTTCAAGCCCCCCCCCCATTGAAAAATCCTGCGTACGCCACTGAACCTAGGTATATTTAAAAATACTGGCATACCCTGCGAAAAAAGTATGCGCACGCCTATGCTTGATAGATCAATGGTAATTAGTACCTACAACAACTAACTACTAACATTTTCAAATCATCTAAGCCCCCAAATCTACTTGGCTAATTTCCATATACATATTATCCTCAGTACACAAAGGTATATCTATAACTCAAATACTACTAGTTTGAATTTTGATTTATATGCGTCAAAGTTCTCAATAAAGAAAATCTGCTTAATAATATAAACCCCGGGGCTCTCTTAAGTACCAAAATTAAAGGGGCCCAAACAATTTTAAGCTGATACATAGTTTTTAGTGATTTTAAAGAGACATTTTTCTATATTTTAAAAACCATTTTTTTTATCGACAAAAACAACTAAACAGTAAATACTTATAAAAGTAGGTAAATGAAGATGAAAAATATAGAAAATGCGCATTTTACTGTTATGTAATATTTTAATTGATATCAATAATATCATCAATAGTTAATAATGTTCTTTATGTACGGAGAGAGCTTTTTCTAAATTAACCAGAGTAAAAAATAAGTATATAATCAGTTAAACCCAAGAAAACTTACGCATACAAATGATTTTATATTCTGAGAATGACTTGTTAAAATCATTAGACTTAAATGAAGTACTAACTACTAAGAGAGTTGGCTTTAAGTAAAGCAAGAAAAAACAATTATTTGATAAAATGGTTTTTGTTTGATATTTGTTGTAAATGAGTATTATACTGACATACTGTTAATAAATTTAAAAGTTATTATGACAATTTGAATTTAAAATTATGAAATAATATTTCATTTTATAAAGTATTAACTTTTACTATAGGTACTACAATAAAATGAGTAGATTTATAGACTTAAATTACATTTACCTATCAATTTTATAATTTTATAATGCAATTGTCAATTTGAGAAATAGTTAGAAAAATCAAAAATGTATGTTCCCGCGAGCGTAGAGCATTTTTTGTCAAAAAGGCCCATATGAAATTTCAGCCCCGGGGCCCAATAGGTTCTTAATCCGGCCTTGCACTTACTTACAATTTAAGTAAAAAAATAGTGTGACCAAGCTTAAAAAATCACTCTGTATAATATTAACGCGAAACCTGACGGGGGGAATCATTCGTTTAATAATAAGCTATGACATTTTTGAAATATTTGAAACTGCGAAATAATAAATAATTATTATTAATTACACAGAAACGAAATTACGAAAAACAAAATTATTTTTATATTACCTATAGAATTTTAACTTTGAATACAAATTCATAAGCTATAATTATCATATTATTCAAGTAAACTTTTATAGGTAAATGTCCAATCATCATTGTTTTATAATTATATTTATGTAGGTACCTATAGGTAACAGGTATAAGTAGACGTATATAGTATACACTATACGCACTATAGTATTATAAATAGGTAATACATATTTTTTTTGCATGCAACATTTTCATGACCACTAACTGAATCCAACAGCGGATCGCTGCAGGGTCGAATGAGGGGGCCCTCGCCTCGTGGCCTCGTCTGAGCCCATTGTTTTTAAAGAGAAATAAAAAACCTAACTTGACTTGCAGTAGCGCAATTAATTCAAAAAAACTTCCTCACACTTATTACTTGACACTAATAATTGTACTACTATAAGTGCCCTGCTCAGTGCTCACACTATAATAGGAAAGTATCTGTGCCCTGTAAAGAAAAAATGCGTACGGTTAAAAATATCGATACCTAAATACTTTATGGGGTCTTTACTCTCTATAAGGACGAGGCACACGCCAAGCATATAAAAAATTTACGAGACTCTAAAAAAACGCAGG